TTTTAGAAATTCTAGGAACCACTAGTAAACCTGCAGATTGAGAGCGAAGTGCTCTGTTAGGAACATAAGGAACAATCAGATCTCTGTTATTAGATGGAGCTTGGCCATTTAAGGCTTTATATGTGAGAAGGAGGATTTTATATTCTATTTTGGATTTAGCAGAAAGCCAATCATGAGAAGCTCGGATAGGAGAGATATGATCTCTTTAAGCCATCCACACCAACCTTTGCGTGATTTTAATAGACCACGGGGTCTGGTTTGGATTTTAGACCGCTGAGTGTACTGGCTAAGGTGTAAGCAGTGCTTTCCAAACGTCCAACAAAAATGTTTCTATTGTCTCTTGTGTCACTAATACGTCTGTGTTTTTCCACGGGTGGTTGATCATCCTCAGACTCGCTGTCAGAATCTGAGCTGCTCCCTACCAACCAGTCGTCATCATCGGTCTCTCCATCTCTGCCCGAATAGCTATCAGCAATATTTTGAAGCATTTTCTAAAGCCTTTGTTGCTGTTAGATATATTCTTAAAGCCAACAGTTACAGAGCTTTCTAGGTATAATATTGGTTGCTAGGCAAAGTATCAAATGTCAATCCACGTCAATCAAACGCAGGAAGAAGTTAGAAAGCAACTAATAGAGCCGTCAAAATAATGGCTATAGATAGAGGTAAAATTAACCATAACTCTTTTTTAGGTTTTATTTTAACAAAAAAAAACTTGAAAATAAAGGAAATATAGAAACAGAAAAAACAAATTAACATGACCAACATAAGTTTAATGTAAATAAAGCTTTTCACTTCAAAATCGCAGAACCGTTAAGATGACGGCCTTGAGAGTTCTAGTGTTAAGGGACAGTAGGCAGAGAACTTGGTAATCGCCAGTGCATTAGTGTTTTAGATGAACATAGGAAACCAAACTGGGTTCTGCCAAACTGATGGAAGAATAGTTCTGGTTTCTTCTTCTCTTCAGTTCTCTGGGCCACCGCATGCCCACAGCATCTCCTTCCACGCTCAGCATGGCTGGAGCTGGGGCAGCTTCCTCTTCTTCCTCATCGGACCGATGTCGCCTGACCCGAGGCTCCACAATCCGCAGCACCTTCCATGGTGGACAGCTGAGGGATCGCGGCCCCCCAGTCTACTCTGCCCCGCCCACATCACCCACTCTGTCCCACCATGATGCCAGCCCCCTCCCCCATGCACGCACCAGGGCAACCTCCAACCTTTTCACCAAGCTGACCTCCAAACTCACACGCAGGTGAATATGTGCCATAGGAGCTATCTCTGTATGAAAGGTGTTTGATGAGGCTAGATGAACCCAGAATAATTCCAGGACTAAACAAAACTGTTCTGCTTACAGCTATTACCAATTTTACGAGTAAAATAGTTTAAAGACTTGTTATCTGTTAAAGTAAAGGAGGCTGAAATTTGGATCCATGGTGTCCTACGACTCCTCTGCCATACCGTTTTTTTTTACCAATCCTTATAAATCATTTCCAACCTTCTCAGCTCACCATGTAACCATGTGGATGTGTCTAAATCTTTTTGCAAGAGCCAAACTAAAAGCATAATGAATGATGCAGTAGTCTGGTTTCTTACAGTAGGCATGTTAAGTTATATTAATACTTTATCAAACAGGTGGTTGTGACAAAAGACGTTTTCTCAGCAGAACATTGCAAAGTAGTGGGTCACTACGCAGAGATTAGGCTGAAACACTAATTTTCTTAGACAGTAGCACCCTGGGCTTCCCTCCACAGTGCATTTCAGTGCAGCCTCTGAACCAGCTGTTGCTACAGGAACAATTGGATTGTTTGCGTATTAAGGGTAGATATGAACGACGCTTTCCAATATAAAAGAACATTGAGTGGCTAGGCTTAATTAGCAAAGAATCAAAAAAGAAAGAAGATGCAGCAGTGAAGAAGCAGTGTCACTCCTGGTGAAAAATCCTGGTGAAATACAGAGTGAAAATAGAGTAAACCAAAACAACAAAAACAAATCTGATTTATAAAACCAAAAATTTTCCTAGGTAGATCATAGCAAGACTTTCACCCAAAGCTCTTCCTCATACTCTGCCCTCCACAAGCCCAAAATACATCATCAGTGGTTCCATGCAAAGCACTGATTAACAAGGACCATCAGGCAGCATAGAGCTGCTCGCTGGCTGGGATGCCTCAGATTTATGGAGAAATTCACCCAATTATTTGGTTTCCTAAAAGTGGCTTAAAGTAAAGAGTCAATTCATTTTGGTTCATGTTTTAACTCCTGTGTGCACTGGTAGGGTCACACAGGTCATAAATGACAAAATTTCATTTATAATTTAAGCTGAATTCTATGTTAATATGTTACAGGGCAGTGGCAGCAGATCACTGTGGATTGAATCTGAAAAGGTCAATCTATGATTAAATCTATGATTAAAATTTCATATGAAGTGAAATTATAAGTCTGAGAAAAATTATGATCCAACTTGGCTTCAGTTCCAGGGTTGAGATTCTTCCAGAAGAAACCTGTTGCTTCCGGACAAGTGGAAGAAACTGGAAGAAAGTCCAAAAAAGTAAAAACAAAAACAAACCATTGGACTTGGTTTTCCAAGTTTGAAGATATTTCACTTCCAATCCAGGAAGCTTTTTCAGTTCAAAATGTCAGAATTACTGTAGTGTTAAGTTCCAAGTTTTATAGAGTAGCCCAACAAAGCCTTGTTTTGGATTAGAAAACATGCAAATTCAATTCCAGAAGAACAGGTCAGCCCCTTAGTAATGGTGATTCGTTGAGACGTTTGTTATCCTGCAAACGTGAATATTTTGGTCCTCAGAACGTTCACATTTTGGACAAAGAGGACAGGTGTTTTGAAAAAACCAAACTTAAACAGAGGGGGTGAACTCAGGTTTCAGCTCTCCATAATGTACAACGCAGTGATAGAGTTGATTTCGGCCCACTATCATAATCCACATCGCATGCAGGGGACCCTGCATCCCAAGACATGGGACTCGGCTGGTCAGCCAGACCAACAATGCCTGTAAAAACCCCCCTTTAAAGAGGCATAGAATTATCTAAAACTCATTGAAAAAGACTTTTAGGTGTATCTGCTTCCCATTTACAGTGATCAATATTGAAAATTAAAATGACCAACTTAAACTGTCAACCTAGAATTTATGTGAAGCTTGAAGAGTTCAGTTTAAGCAACTGGACATGAAGTTTTCTAGAAGACATTTAATCTCTACTCCAAGAGACTCATCAGTTCTGACTAGTGGCGGGGAGCACTGAGATTAATATAACGTAGTTGTACCAAAGAATTGGAGGAAAACAAAAGGTGGCTCTGATCTCTCCTACTGGATTTGCCATGGAGGTCACTTGGAGGGGTTTAATGGTCATTAGGGGGCTCCGATGGGTCGTTTAAGTCGTAGGGAAGTCATATTTACATGTCAAATAATTCTGGCTTAAACAAGTATATAAATGTACTCTTTATTAGATATTGTCCCAAAAGTTAGAAAATTACTATTTTTGAAAAGTCCTTTCTTAAAATAATTTTTTTGTTTGTTTGTTGCGGTATCTTATGCAGGCCAGTTAGTTATACGTCAGCCTGAACACTTAAATTCAGCCAATCATATAACAACGGTTATCTGTCAGTCAAATTTTTTCGCCCAAAGCATCTTGATTCATATGTCGCAGCTAATATACGCAACGGTTGAAATAAGAAATCAGACTCATTTCCTTTCCCATTAAGTTCCGTCCCAGTGTTCACGGGGATGGAGGTCTGTGTCTTCGGCAGGCGTAGAGCTAACAGAACTGGCAGCGTTGCGAGGCAAGGGCAAGGCAAGGCCTTCTACACCAAACCAAGCTTCTGCCGCCCTGGTCAGAAAAGTTAGCGTTCCTTGACAGTGTCGTATCTAAGTCGTATCTAAGTCACCAATTTAGTGCTACTTGGTTCCAATGGAATTTCACATTGGGAACCTACTAGCACTAAGTTGCTAACTGGTTAGCAAGATGCTTCCGACAACTAAACTTTGTGATTGCGAACCTTCCGCCACAACAATCCTGCCCTCTTGATAAACGACCAATCACATTCATTTTATTCACTCGTGTAAAGTCGTGCACCACTTGGGAGAATTCGGAAATGCGCTATGACTTTAACTCCCTCATCAGTGTGGTTTCAGTAGATGACTCAATGAAGTGTGAGTCAGGTGAGGGCAGGTGAAAGGTGAATCATCTGTGTATTGTTCCTAAAAGTGCTTTTTAAGTAGATGAAATTTTGTGACTAGCAACACCTCATCTGTTGAGAGATTGTTTTTCCGGTTAACAAAGATGGCTTCCTTAACCCCTCGCTCAAACCATCTTTCTTCCTTGGCCAGAATACGCCAAAGAAGAAAGATGGTAGAGCTCTAAACTTGTTTTTTTTTTTCAGTTAGCTTAATAAATAAATGTTGTTTTATTATTTGATAGCATGGACTTCATGAGACCCTCCTTCAGATAAATACAGTCTGGCTTCATGTTTATCCAAACATTGTATCTACCCTTGCCTTTTGGCAAGCGTTCCTGAGGCCCTGGATTATCCAGAGCTCTCTTCCCCGGTCGACGTAATCACACATATCTAATCTCAGGCCTCAGCTTTCCCCTGCCAATCAGCTTCAATGCTGCACTCATATCAGCACCTGCTCGCTTGTGATTCAAACGTTCTCTCTTCTATACCCCTCCCTCACCCTGCTCCTAACCCTCCCCTTTTTCTCCATCTTTATCTTTTTCTGCTTCCTTCCTTGTTATGGCATCAGGGTCAACCTTGACCCATCCAAGCGCCAGGGTTCAAATAAATCAGTCTCGGGTTGTTCACTCCCACAAGGATCAAAAACAGTTAGTAAGTTCCCATGTCTCCGGCTTCACTGATCTGTCTGTGCTTCCCGAGTCTGTCTGGCTCCTCTAATAGGGATCTGCTCACTTCACCCCACTGCCTGACTTGACCTGCTGCTTGTTGTGTGCATGGCTTGTGTCTTTTCTTCATTCTGTCAAGGTTCCCCACATGTGGTTTTTCAGCATGGGTGGAGTCAATGATTATATTTGCTTTGATGGTCAATTAAGTGTCATCTCTTGCAACAGTAGACTTGCTGTGTTAAGATTATATTTTCTGGAATAAGATAATCATGAGTGACCACCTGCACTGAGGTAATGGAAAGCTCTGAGTTCATACCTGCATGTCGTTTGGAGTAGAGTAGAGACTAAGAATGTTCTTCATATCACACACTTGTTTTTGCTGAAGCTCATTTGGTTCAGCTGTATGGTATCTATTGCTGCGCACCATCTCATCTGACAGCTGAAGATTATTTAAAAGGCTTATTGTCTCTGGTGGATTTACTTCTTACCCCATCTGTCTGGCCTGCAGGGTCACAAATGAATCTGAGGGAATCAGGAGATTTGCGGTCACAAGGTGAGTGGTTTTGTAAACCTGCTTTGGAGGAAAATACATGACACAAAAGTAAATTTGTGTTTTATTTTGGTTTACAATTGATTTAACTTGTTTGCAATAAGTCTGGTTAAATTTATGTTTTTTTCCTTTGAAATTTTGCTAGACCTTTCAAGAAAATACATTTTTGGATTAGGACAGCATGAGGTTTTGCCAATGTAAAAATTTCCCTCTTTAAAAAAGCCCAAACAGCTTATGCTTTGTTTTTGGCATGGGTGATTGAACAACACACTTTATTCAACCTGTAATGCAGGGAAGAACTAAGACCGACTGTCTACTCCTCCATGTGTTGGATAAAAGCTTAGTCACACATTGACTAGATGTGTCAATCCATTCTCTGTACGACACATTGACAGTTGAGAATCTAACACGGTACCAAGAGCACACCTGAACTCCTACTTCAGTTCAATAGAGTTAGGCAATTGAATACATTTTAGCCCTAATTTCTGGAGATGGCTTTTGATCACCGCCACTCTGTTAGCAAGATGTCTTCAAGATTAGTATTATGTTTCTTTGATTAAAGATCTTGTTTTAGCACCTTTCTGCCAACAGTAATGGTTTTTCTTTCCAGGGAAGAATATCTAAACACCACAGTGCCACCAACAAAAGCCATTGGCAAAGAATTTTGTTAAGTTCTTCCCAATCCAGTCTCCTCAATTCTGCAACTCAAACAACAACTGCATTTTTTTTTATCTGGCACATTTTGGTTGAAAACAAACAGGCTTCCTGAACATACAGTATTTTCTGTAATAAAACATTACGGAATTATCCAAGCATAGGTTCTCTTGCTTTTTATGCAACATTTAGTAGTAGCAGTCCTTACTTGATGTTTAATCTTTTCTCTCGTAGTTGCCATCTACCTGGGTATCAAAAAGCGCCCGAGCCCCGGGCCGTCGGACGTGGCTGGAATCTGAGAGGTGGTGGGCGTCGGGACCCTGCAGAGGTGGTATTGGCTCTGCAGGAGGCAGCGCTCGGATGTGGCTGCCAGGTCCACCATTCCGGCCCCTTTCTGCTCTCCTGCACCCATGGTGTGGCAGGGGGCCGTGTGGCTTTTGAGGCCGAGGTGTGCCATCTATCCACAGGCACCTCAGAGACTTCTAACGGAGTACGCTACACGCGGCTCTGGGGGGCACCACTAACTTTTCGAGACATCGCTACCCAAATCTCAAAGGACCTTGAGCTTTGAGCCAGAGGCAGTGTGTGTGCTTGAAAGTGTGCTATGTGGGTTTATATGTGTGCATCTGGAGAACTGAAGAAGGAAAGAGGTAATAGATGGGGCAAGGGGCTGGACCCTTTCAAGAATCGCCCTCTGCACACACACACACACACATAGACTCACATACCCCTGAGCAATGAGGTAGACCTGACCGAAGCACCCCACCGTCCACCCAATCACCGCAAGCGGCTTAGCAGCCTCCTCACTGAGCTGCTATGACTACTGGATCTGTATCAAATGAAATCTAGTTGAATATTTTTATTGCTACTCCTAGCCATAATGACTCTTTATTTTGTTATGCTCTGATCGTTGTTTTACCCACCATCACCATTATCTCCCCTCAGATTTTAAGCCTCACTGTCCACCCAGTACTTTTCAAGCTCTTTCTATATGATATTCCCAGTCACTGTCATCCTATTTCATCCATTTGGATCACCTGGGGACAGTCACACAGGTGACAACATGTCTGATTGAGTTATCCAGTGGAAAATGAAGGGTTGCATTGCATTGTTTCATGCACAGACTTCTCAGACTTCATTGGGTTAAGATCAATTGAAGTCTGACAATTAATCAGAGGCTATTGTGGGGTAACAACAGCCAATCAGTTAGGCTCTCTAAGTCAGATAAGCCGAGAAGATGTTTAAGATCATCAACTTGTTGAAGCAGAATGGCTACTGGACAGCCAATATGAGATTCTCCCGGGATGAAAACGTTTTATTAAAATACCACAACATCAGTATAAAAAACAAAGATCTTAAAAGAAAAATGAAAAAAAAAAAAAGCTATGGTTATTTTGATTTAAAACAAAATCTGTTTAATTTTGTTTAAATCTGAAATTGTATTTCAGATTTAATCTGAAATTGTATTTCAGATTTAATGATAACTAATTACTGTATTTCTGTGGCTGACATTGTCTTTGCTCTTAGGAAGGGACAAGTAGTTGCCTTGTGTTAGCCAGCTGTCTGCCAGTGTGCAGCCAAACTTAGAGCCATCAGTCTGTGGTCTGTTCAATAAGAGAAATGTCTAGTGATAATATTGTGGAAATTCGAGCAGTTTTCATTCGGTGTACCTAGGATCAGTAGTCAGCCCATTCCCATGTGCCAGAATAACAAACACATTTTTTTTCCTTGAAAAATATACCCATTAACTTTCTCTTTATCTTTATTTATTCCAATAAAGATACATTTTTGACCTTAATGTTTGCGTAGGTGAACAATAAGTCGTTGGAGTGTACCTAATGAGTAATCCATTTGCCAGGTGAGGGCTAGTAAAGGGAAATCCTCTGCATCATCATTTGTATAGAATTATTTACAAAAGTTTTAATGTGTGTAGTTTCTATCATTGCAACTGTCAAGAAAACCTGACTCCTTTAGATTCTAGAGCTGTTCCTTTCATTCGTTAATATTTATGAGATTCTGACATTATTCTGACACAGTTTCTGCAGAGCTGCAGTATAAAAACACCAAAAAGTCTGAACCCACTTTTTGTGGCGGAGTGTTGGCCTAGTGATCAGAGCAGTGCACTTTTGCTCTGAGAAGGTTACAAGTACCCGGTTTGATCCCCACAGCCTGCACTCTGGGCCTCTGAGCAAGACCCTTAACCCCATACTGCCCCCCAGGCGCCGCACAGTGGCAGCCAACTGCTCCCCAAAGTGATTGGTTACATGCTGAGATAAGTTTCTCCAGTGTGAGATCAATAAAGTTCAATTATTATTATTAAAAGAGACAAATAAAGATGATTACTGCTGCTCAGATAAGGTCACAGTGGCATTTTAAAGTTTTACCCAACTTTTATTTTCTTGTCAAACTGATAAAGGCTAAAATATGAATTTAATAGATTTAAAAAAAAAACTAAAAAAAAACATTCAGCCAGAAGTTGAAATGAAAGGTTGGAGCATTTTGTAAGAAATACTGCAGCTTAATTTTGAAGTAGATAGAAAGTAAACATGTGAGTGGCAAAGAATGATAGATCTAACTCTAACAAAGTTTCATCAGCAGATTATTAGGCTTTGTGGCACATGGATGGACGGAGCTTTTTATTTCACTAACAGACTTGTTGTTTTAAAACCGCCCAACAGGAAGCGATGGCTTTATTTTTGACTTCTAAACAGCAGTTTTATTCGTCAAGGTGTCAATGATTTCATTTAAAGTGAATGGGGACAGCTCCACTTAGCAACCACTGATGGCAACCACTGATGGAGTCAGTGGCTCCCTCTTCTAGCTGACACAAAATGGCACTAAAATTTGTGATTTATAATCACCAAATTATTGCAAATTAATCCATATTTACTAAAACTAATTTCTGGTAAGGAATGAAAATATTCTAAAGTAGAGTTACATTGCTCTCAATATAGAACCTTGTTAACAAACGGTGGTAGCTTGACAAGCTACCTTCGCTTCTTTGGGAAGAAAATGTAGTTGTTTTGCATGTCAGTGTGTAGCCACATTGTACAAACATGTATAATAAAAAAAGATAATCAAAACCACAGTTTAAAGCACACCACTGGACTTTTGAGACAATTGAAAGCAATCGTCTGTTAACAGGAAGCTCGTATCTGTATACACTGTAGTCAAACAGAACTGCATCGTATAGCCCAGGGCAATGGCGTAACGATAAAACATTAGGCCCTTAAGAAACATTATCTGGGTGGGCCCCATATGAAGTACAACACCCACCCCACCCCCCCACCATCGCCGTAGACATCCAACGCGAAACGTGCCCCATACATACACACTTCATCATTTCATAATTCTTCCCCTTCACTAGATGTGGATATACTTTAGTTTATTCTGCTGTAAAATTAGTCTTATCGGGCTACCTTGAGTGTCACAGCCCCCCTCCTCACCCACGCTCTCTCCATTCATCTCCTGGTCACAATCTTTACTGTAGCAGCAACGTCCACCTCTCCCTCTTCGGTTCTGTGAAAGAACATATTTATTTTGGGAAGTTTTTTCTGTTCTTCCAGCAGCTCTTTGCTTTTTCTTTTCTGGAATCCATTTAAGTACCTCTTTTGGTATCCATCGTCGCTAACACATTGTAGATAACGGTTATGGTTTTAATCTACGCTCTGGATTACTCATAATTCCAAGTCGTAGTGTAAAAAAAATAAAATACTCAATAGAAATGACATCATTTTACTAAACTGTGGAAATACATGTCACACTTGAACTTCTGTAAGCCTTACAAACAGGGTGAGAGTCCATCCTCTAGGGGGCGCTATGAGCACACCCAGTGTTGCTCTTCTTCCATAGCATCTGATCAGGATGACATCTTGATTGGAGGAGGAGAAGGAGTGTCACTGAAGAGTGGGGTGTCTGAGAGGTTTGGACCTGTTGCCTCCATGGTCTGATCTTTGATAGGAGAAAGGCAAAGTGCTGATCTCAGACATATTTCAACCAACACCAAATCACCAGCTTTGCTCTTTAAAGCAATCTTTCAATTCTTAGGAGCATCAATGCAATGCAACTCTTCTATTGATTCAATTCTGTGCCATTTGATTCCCCCATCCTTATGTTCTGTTGTTAACTGGAAACATCAGCACATGGGTCATTCCACCTCACCTTAATAAGCTGAGGCCATGTACATCCTAACATGCACCTCTTTACCCCCCTGTCCCGGTATAAGAACTACTGAGTCCATTATTGATGACTGCAGAAATCACAGGGAGTGTTGTGTCTGGAAAGGCACAATGGGAGCAATGTGGACACTATTTTCTTGTTAGTCCAGCTGCCTTTAAAATGGACACTCCCCCCAGCGCCTTCATACAGTACTTATTTTATGTAAATAAGGAAGAAACCTGAGAAAGCTTTCTATGCTCCCTCCCTGTTTTTAGTGAACAATGTACTGTGATATTTGCGTAGACTACAGAGGTCATATTGTTTGGCTGCTGATTTACTGTTAAAACTTTCTCTCAGTTGTGGTTTTACTCACTGTAACCCAAATGAACAATGCCCATCCAACCATTCATGTCTACACCCATCAGGACTTAAGCGACTTCCTCTGTTTATCCTCATCAGTCCCTTCTCTTCTTACGCTTAGCAAACTTTTTGTATGAGTCACAATGAGTATTTCGGCTTCATTCTCCCGACGGGGAAATAATCAGCTGTCTTTCACTCCGTCATGTTATGTGACATCTCCTCTGTCCTGTTTGGTGTGCACTGTTTCTTGGTGTCCAACAGGGGACCTGCATTCCTCCTCAGGTTGAGAAGCATGCACCAACATGGGCGCAAGGAGTCCGTCCTTGTCCTCTCACCGGACGATTTTCATTGTGGTATATATTAGCATTAGGTAATATAGACCTCAATGCACTTTGCTTTGACTTGAATCAGCTCCCTCCGGTGTACCTGTTAAGGTCATTCCCAGTACTAGTCACTGGAGGGCGCCCATGTCTTAAATGTGAAACACTTCAATTTGTGGATATTTGCACAGGTACTTTATTTATTTTTTAGAATAATATCATTAAAAAACTTTATTTATATCAGTCATTTGATGACTGTATATGAAATATATGAATATAGTATATATCTTAGAGCTCAAGGTTTATTTATAGTTAGATCAAGGGAAGTAATTCTATAGATTAAAACAGTTTCTGTCAGTGATATGAGGGAGAAAAACCAACCTGCTGTCCTGCATGACTTCAGACTATGGATAATATTGGAAAAATGAACTATGATGCACATCCTGTATTTGAGGACACAATTAGTTTGTAAAACAAGTTTTACAGTAAAGTGACCCCCCCTCCCCCTTTTTCCACAGAAACTTAACAGAAGGGCTCCAGTGAGATCGGGTGACTATCCTCCACCTAATTGTCTGTTGACAGGTTGAACTTGAATTCACGCCCATCCTGCTGACACCATGACACCTTTAAAAAGCCCCAGCTGCAAACAAGCCATAGAAAAGCTAAACTTCTGGTGTCTGATCTATAATGTGTGTGAAAAAATTCAGTGATAACAATGATAACCTTGATTTACATGTCTCACTATTGTGAAAGATGGGGTTATATTGTGGTAAAGTGTGACAGTTTCACCCCATGAAGTATTTTTAAAGGAGTATTATTGGTCTGAGTTTCATTGGGAACATAATAGTATTAAGAGCCCAGAAGGCTCAGTATTTCACATCAACTTCATTTCTTAAGTCATTTTTGGGAAAGTGGATCTTCTGCACAGCAGACCTTAAATAACTCAGTTTTACTCTGTTGTGATGTTAAAATCTTCCCACAGAAGCAACATGAACTGATTGGTTGTGGTACCTAAAGATAATCTGGATCTGAAGTTGAATAAATTTCACTGATGTTGGCTTTGTGATTGTTTTTATTTCTGTGTCCTAACTTTTTAAAACGTCTGTTTTCCCCAGACTTTGGATTTGCTGGTTTCTTTGTCCACTTGTAACCTTTTTAACACTGCTGCGCCAATCTAGTCACCATTTGGTCCCTATTTACAGTTATGAGCACACAAATTAAGGATTCATACACGGTCTGCAAAAGCCTGGAATTTGATTCCTATCTTTTTCAAGTCTGGATTAATATCTAAGAAGAAAATACTTCCTGCATCATAATACAAAGTTGATGTAAAGAGCTGAGAGCTGAGTTTTATTCTATTAACCTTTGAAAACATAAAGTTTCAATCAAAGGTTTTGGGCATCAAATACAATAATAATGATCTAATCTTTAAGTTCTAAAATTACTTAAGTGTCACATGTCTGTCACGGTTTTAGTTTGCAAAACAAGCCACACTGCATGAGCTGGGTGAGAAGATTTTATTTCACTAAACTTG